AGCGAAGGTGGGTTCATGACTCTCCAAAGCTTCGCTAGGAACATTGCGCGTTGCGCCTAAAGTTTTGGATCTCCAATCGATCCACGGCTCATGGCGTTCCACCGAGAATGAGATCATATCTCGATTCCAAATCTAGGACAAGACAGCGTTCAACGCTATTGAAATCTAAGAACTTCACACCTAAGTTCAACGGAACTTTAGGAACGGTGACACGTACACCAGTCGCGAGACGTACGGTTATACTGTCACCCTCTTGCGCTTCCAGCGCCTCAGCATACAGCTGACTCCCCTCAAGGGAGCGACGTCGGACATAATTCCCTGACGCCCCTGAGTCAATTAAAATTGACCATGGTTTCTCAAAACCCTTAACGGTTGCCGACACAACCAACAAGCCTGGCTTGTAATTTTGTTCTATGGGAGCATCCACAGAACCACCTGGGGATAAGCCCTGTTTACCTTTACCTCCTAAAGATTCAACAGAACTTAGTTCTTTCCCAGTAGGGCGCCCCGCGCCTACTGGGAGTCGACATTTTCCCCTGCGGTGCTCGCCTTTTGGCTAGGAGCAGGGCTTCGGCTTTGCCGATTTGAACGTTGCTTTCGCAACGGACAGCTAGGGCGGAGATGCCTAGTGCTTCCGCACATGTAACATCTACGGATGCTACCTTGCTGCTCAGCAGCTTGAAGCTCAGCTTCTTCAGCATGGCTGAGATCCATGGGTTCCGCCCTATTAGAGGTATTTGATTGATACCAGGGCAGACCATATCGAGCAGATTTAAAATTAAATTCAGCGTTAAACGCTACGCTTACTGCCTCCTCAAAAGTTGAAGGCTGGACACGGAAAACTTCCGTCCTGGCGACCCCAGTGCGAAGTCCTTCCATAAAAATGGTTACTCGGATTTCCTCTGCCAGTGGGTCCTGCTGCATAGCAGCAATGAGAGTTCTCAACTCTTGGACATAGTCCGACAATTCTTTCTTACCCTGTCGGGTAGCTAGGAAGCGTGAGCGCACACGATAAGCCTGATTAGGCGGTGCAAACACACAAGTTAATTGCTTTTTAAGCATCTCCCATGTGGGAAATGCAGCATTTACAGAGACACCGCTCGTTAGAGCCCATTCTCTAGCTCTTCCACCGAGCTTAGAAATGGCCAAGCCAACTCGTTGCTTATCGGATGCAAGCATGGCGGCATCCATTGCCATTTCAACTTCTCGGATCCAGAGGAGAAGGTTCTCTCCCTCCTTCTCCTCGAAGGTCTTGACACTTAAAACAAGTGGACGAGCCTTTGGCTCTGCATCGGGCACAGGTACCGGAATGTACTGTGTAGGCGCAGCTGACGCTGCCTGGTCATGGACCTGCCCGAGGAGCGTTGCCTCATAACGCATAAAGGCCTCAAGACGAGCATTTAGAACCTCGTGGCCTTGGGCCAAAAGGGCCTCGATTTGATCAGGCCCGACGAACGCAGATAGTTTATCTAAGGCGAGTCGTTGTGCTTCAGAGAGGTGATTTTGATTCTCCATTCTCGCAGGGGGTCAGTCTTTAAAGACTTAGGTGTAGGATTGACTACAAGTGCTACCAAGTGTAGCGGAGCTACACAGCTCTTTAGCCAGAGGAAGACTTTCGGCTGGAAGCCTCTTAGTTCGAGAGAACTAAATAGAGTTAAGGCTAAAAGCCACTTAGTTCTAAGGAACTAATTATTCGACGTTAAAGTCACCCTCTTCTAAGGAAGTAGGAGAGACTTTTAGTCAGTCAAGCAATAAGCTTAAGGTTCAGAGAACCAACGCACAGAGTGCAAGAACAAGCTAGAAGCTTAGGGGTTCAGAGAACCAACGCACGAAGTGCACAAGAGAGCAAGTCAGAACGACTTGCGATCTTAAACTCAAAAGGAGAACTGATTTTATTTATGCTTTAAGATTTTGTGAATAGTCCTACTCTAAGTACACTACACTAGATTAATTACTATAATAGTAATTATTATATGCAGACTTTGCTATTGAACGACGTATCGTCTTAACATCTGTGTATGATGTACTTAATGGAGCGTTATCGATTCATCGAATCCTAATCGGTAAGATACGGTATTACCGAATACCGTATCTATAACGCTCATACTTAATACCTCTCTAAAGAGAAGTATAATAATGCATTATATGCAATAGAAAGGAGAGTTTAAGTGTAAACTCTCGGAAAGACGCTACAACCGTCGTGTAACCCCGTTACACCCTTGGATTTGTCTTGTGTGTATTGCTCGATGACCCACCGCTGGTATGGACCGGAAAGCTCATTCGGACACTACAACATGCCATGACCCATCGTACCTTGATTTTGACCACACACTTGATGCAGGAAGCGCAGACGTAGGTGCGAGACTATCGGCTTTATCGCCGACCGCAAATTATATGCTGCGACTCCAGCTCATTTCTTTGAAATCGGTTTGGAGTGAAACAGTATAGAACTGTTGTGAGTCGCGAGGATAATGACCAGGACGGTGATCACAGCGGTCTGCAACCACGTGTCAAGCATGGACTAAATTTGAATGAGAACGCTTAAGAAGTATGTTCCGAGCGCTACTATCGTAAATGACAATACAGTAAGTGAAAAAGGCGAGTACAGCTGAATGGTGGAGAAGAGCGGTGTTTTGCTGAGCTCTTTAACGAACTAGAAACGATAAAGCAGGTGGGAGTATCAAACGCTATGCGGTTGCAGCGACTGACTTGAAGGATGTATTTGTAAAGGAGAGCGAGGGCAAAGATTCTTGTTATCACGCCACCAATGATGTACAGTGCTGTCAAAAATGGAATAAAAGTCGAACTCAAACATGCATTTGCAAAATACTGACACGGAAAGTGTTGTTTTCGCAGATTTGAGCTTGGGTGAATGAAGCGTGCTAACATGTTTTAAATCGTGACACGAAAACCCTGTTTTTGCAGTATGGATGGCCCTTGGCTTTTTCGCGATCGTCATGGCGTGGTTTAAAACGTAACAATTGAGTAAACGACTTTAGCCGCCGTCTGCGAAGAAAGCATCGTCTTTATATCGTCTGCGTCAGAGTGATAGATTCGGTCGCGGACATTATTGCGTAGTGATCGAACAAACCTCTAAACCCGATTGTGCTCGATAAGAACGCGCAGACCGAGCAGGCAATTTTTGAGAATGGCACATCATTTTTGCTGGTATGTTTGTGTCGAATGTCAATTCGGTCGTGATTTGAAGACGTAAAGGATGGCACATAGAGCAAAAATCAAGCATCGCTACTGAAGTCAGCAGTGCCGCCGATTACTGCAGAATGAAATATAACGCAACGAAGGCTGGATGCCTAGTGAGGTAACTGTAAGATTTCGTTGTCCATGCGTCCTCACTGTCGTCACACTATCACGAACCGCAAGAGCAGGGTATAGCTGGCCCACTTATTTCTTGGAATCATATTTTTACGAGACGAGAAAATACTCTTTTCATACCATGATCTCTAGTTATTGGTCTCTGATGCCGAATTTGACATGATCAACCGAAGAAATTGACCATTTCGACCGCGCAATGGACTTTTTAGTATCGACCTCCGACACAATTACAGTACCAAGTTCAAAGATCGTATCGGACGGCTCTGGCCTCGAGTCGCGACCTGTTTAAATTGAATCTGGACTCGAGTCACGACCTCGAGTACATGATTAACGTCTCACTCCCAACGACAACTGCTCTCGATCAGCCGTCACAAGCTCCCTCGTCTCCGCCGAGGTAGTTCAAGATCGCCACTGCATATCTTCAAGAGCCTACCAGAGGAACGATCCAGCCCTACACATGTTGACCAAGTTTTCTTCCACGGACATCAGATTGAACTCTTTTCAAAAGTCTGCGCACTTCCGAGTAACTCTTTCCAAAAGTTTGCATGCCTTGTCACGACTGGAGGGGTGGAATGATAAGGAACTATGCTTCGCATTGGGTAAAATACCGCCCGCATTGCTGAAAATGTGCTCGTATTGTTATGGTTTTTGCTTAATTTCGCACAGCACCTGATGCGGATGGTTTGACTTCTTATTTGTTTGCTCCATCACTATGAAATTTCCAAAATAAGCTACAGAACTATTTAGTCTCTTGCCCCTAATTCAATATATATGCTGGTCACGCCATGGACAAACATCATTAAATTTGTAAGACTAATTCTGTTGCTCTGATTTCCATCTACCGAGTCCGTAATTACCTGTTTTCTTACTACATCATTTCCGGAGACGGCAGGCACTCGGCGCCTTCATAAAAAAACACAGCCGCCATTGCAAAGTGTCAACAACCTGCACTACATTGAGCGGTTTAACTGTAACGGGGTTACACGACGGTTGTAACGTCTTTCCGAGAGTTTACGCTTAAACTCTCCTTTGTATTGCATATAATGCATTATTATACTTCTCTTTAGAGAGGTATTAAGTATGAGCGTTATAATACGGTATTCGGTAATACCGTATCTTACCGATTAGGATTCGATGAATCGATAACGCTCCATTAAGTACATCATACACAGATGTTAAGACGATACGTCGTTCAATAGCAAAGTCTGCATATAATAATTACTATTATAGTAATTAATCTAGTGTAGTGTACTTAAAGTAGGACTATTCACAAAATCTTAAAGCATAAATAAAATCAGTTCTCCTTTTGAGTTTAAGACCACAAGTCGTTCTGACTTGTTCTCTTGTGCACTTCGTGCGTTGGTTCTCTGAACCCTAAGCTTCTAGCTTGCTCTTGCACTCTGTGCGTTGGTTCTCTGAACCTTAAGCTTATTGCTTGCTGACTAAGAGTCCCTCCTACTTCCTTAGAAGAGGGTGACTTTAACGTCGAATACTTAGTTCCTTAGAACTAAGTGGCTTTTAGCCTTAACTCTATTTAGTTCTCTCGAACTAAGAGGCTTCCAGCCGAAAGTCTTCCTCTGGCTAAAGAGCTGTGCAGCTCCGCTACACTTGGTAGCACTAGTAGTCAATCCTACACCTGAGTCTTTAAAGACTGACCCTCTGTGAGAATGGAGAATCAAAATCACCTCTCTGAGGCACAACGACTCGCCTTAGATAAACTATCTGCGTTCGTCGGGCCTGATCAAATCGAGGCCCTTTTGGCCCAAGGCCACGAGGTTCTAAATGCTCGTCTTGAGGCCTTTATGCGTTATGAGGCAACGCTCCTCGGGCAGGTCCATGACCAGGCAGCGTCAGCCGCGCCTATACAGTACATTCCGGTACCTGTGACCGATGCAGAGCCAAAGGCTCGTCCACTTGTTTTAAGTGTCAAGACCTTCGAGGAGAAGGAGGGAGAGAACCTTCTCCTCTGGATCCGAGAAGTTGAAATGGCAATGGATGCCGCCATGCTTGCATCCGATAAGCAACGAGTTGGCTTGGCCATTTCTAAGCTCGGTGGAAGAGCTAGAGAATGGGCTCTAACGAGCGGTGTCTCTGTAAATGCTGCATTTCCCACATGGGAGATGCTTAAAAAGCAATTAACTTGTGTGTTTGCACCGCCTAATCAGGCTTATCGTGTGCGCTCACGCTTCCTAGCTACCCGACAGGGTAAGAAAGAATTGTCGGACTATGTCCAAGAGTTGAGAACTCTCATTGCTGCTATGCAGCAGGACCCACTGGCAGAGGAAATCCGAGTAACCATTTTTATGGAAGGACTTCGCACTGGGGTCGCCAGGACGGAAGTTTTCCGTGTCCAGCCTTCAACTTTTGAGGAGGCAGTAAGCGTAGCGTTTAACGCTGAATTTAATTTTAAATCTGCTCGATATGGTCTGCCCTGGTATCAATCAAATACCTCTAATAGGGCGGAACCCATGGATCTCAGCCATGCTGAAGAAGCTGAGCTTCAAGCTGCTGAGCAGCAAGGTAGCATCCGTAGATGTTACATGTGCGGAAGCACTAGGCATCTCCGCCCTAGCTGTCCGTTGCGAAAGCAACGTTCAAATCGGCAAAGCCGAAGCCCTGCTCCTAGCCAAAAGGCGAGCACCGCAGGGGAAAATGTCGACTCCCAGTAGGCGCGGGGCGCCCTACTGGGAAAGAACTAAGTTCTGTTGAATCTTTAGGAGGTAAAGGTAAACAGGGCTTATCCCCAGGTGGTTCTGTGGATGCTCCCATAGAACAAAATTACAAGCCAGGCTTGTTGGTTGTGTCGGCAACCGTTAAGGGTTTTGAGAAACCATGGTCAATTTTAATTGACTCAGGGGCGTCAGGGAATTATGTCCGACGTCGCTCCCTTGAGGGGAGTCAGCTGTATGCTGAGGCGCTGGAAGCGCAAGAGGGTGACAGTATAACCGTACGTCTCGCGACTGGTGTACGTGTCACCGTTCCTAAAGTTCCGTTGAACTTAGGTGTGAAGTTCTTAGATTTCAATAGCGTTGAACGCTGTCTTGTCCTAGATTTGGAATCGAGATATGATCTCATTCTCGGTGGAACGCCATGAGCCGTGGATCGATTGGAGATCCAAAACTTTAGGCGCAACGCGCAATGTTCCTAGCGAAGCTTTGGAGAGTCATGAACCCACCTTCGCTAGAAAACAAAAGTGCTATTGGCGCGAGCCATTAACTGATTCAGTTAATGTGCTGGACATTGGAGTGTCTGAGTTGATAAACTCCGATGTCAACAATAATAGTGTCGAGCAGAGCTCAATGACACTTAGTGGAACGGCACGTACTCCGTTAAGTGATACTCATAGTAATATTGGCTGTAAATGCGATTTACTGGATGTCGGTAATGACATCGGCTCTCGTATAGAGCGAGTGAAGGTCAATAACCTTGTTAGTGAAGTCACTGGTACTAGTGACCCACTGGATGTCGGTAATGACATCGGCTCTCGTATAGAGCAAGTTAAGGTCAATGACCTTGTTAGTGATATTGGCTGTAAATGCGATTCACTGGATGTCGATAATGACATCGGCTCTCGTATAGAGCAAGTTAAGGTCGATGACCTTGTTAGTGATATTGGCTGGAAATGCGATTCACTGGATGTCGGTAATGACATCGGCTCTCGTATAGAGCGAGTGAAGGTCGATGACCTTGTTAGTGAAGTCACTGGTACTAGTGACCCACTGGATGTCGGTAATGACATCGGCTCTCGTATTGAGCAAGTTAAGGTCGATGACCTTGTTAGTGATATTGGCTGGAAATGCGATTCACTGGATGTCGGTAATGACATCGGCTCTCGTATAGAGCAAGTGAAGGTCGATGACCTTGTTAGTGAAGTCACTGGTACTAGTGACCCACTGGGTGTCGGTAATGACATCGGCCCTCGCATAGGGCAGGTAAACGACAAGGGGTCTGTTGACCTTTGGGGACGATAACATCCCAAGTACTTTGAAGAGTACGGTCTCGTCAAGGAGACGGCAGCGTCGCCAGATGGCGGCTGCGAGACGCAAAGCGTCTGTTTTATCGCATAGTAATGTCAATGACCAGTTGTACACCCTGGTCAACGGAGTGACAGGTGATGTAGATGGTGAGGTTGACCTTGAGGCCCTCCCATCATTAAATGCTCTTTTAGAGCTAGGCGAAATGTCTGTGGATGAATTTCATCAGGCCTTGAAGGCAGGTGCTCTGTCCGATATGGTGGTCATTCGACCTAACCTCGAGCTGAACTCATCCTCGCTTGTCGATGAGACAGTCCTTGAAGATACAAAAGCGGCACTGAGTGCACGTAGTGGGGCATCTATTCTGAAGGACCCTTCAGATCCCTACTATCCTTTGGTAAAGGAATTCCAGGATGTGGTGTGTCACGATCCACCGTCGGTTCTACCACCTGATAGGGGTGTACGCCATGAAATTGACTTGGTTCCCGGAACCAAATACTGTGTAACCCGGCAGTGGCCTTCACCCAAAGAACAGTGTGACGTCATTGACGAGTTCTTTCGTGCAAAGCACGCGGCGGGCATGGTGCGTGAGAGTAAATCTCCGCACTCGACACCCACTTTCTGTGTTAAGAAACCAAATGGTAAATGGCGTATTGTTCATGCTTATAATAAGCTCAATGCGGCCACTATACCTGCACAGACACCGATACCTAGAAAGGATGCTCTTCAGAACAATATGGTCGGTTGTACCATGTACAGTGCGCTCGACTTAGTCGATGGTTATTACCAATTGCTCATGCGAGCTAGTGATATTCCGCTTACTGCTGTTAGTACTCCGAGCGGTATGCTCTGGGAGTGGTTAGTGATGCCCCAAGGGCTATCTAATGCTCCGGCTACGTTTAACCGTTTGGTGACGCAATTGTTTCGACCCCATCGAAGTTATGCACAGACGTATTTTGATGACATTTTTGTCCATAGCCGAGCTGAACATGGGCGGTCAGATATTGAGAATCATATTGTTCATTTACGAGCAGTGCTCGAGTGCATGCGCACTAATAAATTATATGCGAATGCCTCTAAGTGCATCTTCGGGGCCGAAGAAATTCCCTTTCTAGGGTGCTTCATTGGGAAGCGAGGACTACGAGCGGATCCCGCCAAAGTCAAAGCCATAGTCGATTGGCCTGTTCCACAATCTCAGAAGGACTTGCGTAAATGGCTTGGCCTTGCCATTTACTTACACAAGTATAGCGAGAATTACGCTGATATGGCTCGACCGAGATTATCCAATCTCCTTAAAAAGGATGTGGAATGGTGTTGGCATGCCGAACACGAAGATGCTTTTCAAGCGGTAAAGGCGAGCCTTCTACATGCTCCTATTTTGGCTTTGCCAGACCCTGACCGACCGTTTAGCGTCGTCTGTGACGCATCGGATTTTGCCATTGGCAGTGCTCTGTTACAATCAGATGATGAAGGCCGTGAGCGTGTAATCGCTTTTGAATCTCGCCAGCTGAAAGCTGCAGAAAAGAACTATCCAGTTCACGACAGAGCTACTTGCGATGAAGTATGCCCTGGTCAAATTCAGAGTTCATCTGCTGGGCTCAAAGCCTTTTGTGATCTATACCGATCATGCGTCGTTACGCACTGCGACTCAGTCGCCGCATCTCTCGCAGAGAATGGCCAGATGGCTGTCATTCTTTGCCGAATATAACTTCGAGGTGAAATATAAGCCGGGCAAGCAAAATGCTTTGGCTGATGCGTTGTCACGCAGACCTGATTATGAGCTTGCTCATGTGACGATGTTGTCGTCTTCTATCACCGATCTCATTCGTACGGCGTATGCTAAAGATGATCACTGTATAGCGTTGCTACATGCTCTTGGCAGTGAGGAGTTTAGAGACTCGGAAATTAAATTGTCGGCACGATTACGTGCGAGCCTCCATCGATATTCTATCGATGAGGGGCTGTTGTACTATCGTACAGATGTAGCGGATTCTCCGCGTATTGCGGTTCCCTCACGACGAGGTCCTGAAGTATCGTATCCTCTATGAGGTACATGACACCGCCATCGGTGGTCATTTGGGTCGCGAAAAGACCTATGGGGCAGTATGCCAAAGTTATTGGTGGCCCAAATTATACAAATGGGTGAGCACATATGTGCGTACGTGTGAAACGTGTCAACGGGTGAAATCCTCGCCCCACTCGGCAGCGCCGCTGGCTAGCTTGCCTATTCCCACTGGGTGCTGGGAGTCCATTAGTATGGACTTTGTATTTGGCCTACCGAAAGATTCGCATGGCAATACAGGTATTGTGGTCTTTGTTGACCGTTGAGCAAGATGGCTCACTTAGCGGCTGTGCCAGATTTGATCGATGGTGTGGGTACAGCGGAGCTGTTTATCGATCGGGTGTTTCGCCAAAATGGCTTGCCAGTGGCAATTGTTACTGATCGTGATCCTCGTTTTACGAGTAAATTTTGGAAGTCCGTCTTCCAAGTGCTGGGCACCCGTTTGGACATGTCCACGGCGGATCATCCGCAGACCGATGGTCAAACTGAACGCGTAAATCGCGTTGTTGAAGATATCCTACGCAGCGTTTGTGCTGAAACGCCTAAGCGTTGGAGCTCTATGCTCCATGTAGTTGAGTTTGCACTCAATAATTCCGTGCACGCCTCCACCGGCTACACTCCGTTCTATGTCAATGATCTCACACACCCACGCGTTCCGTTAACGCTACCACCGAGTGGTTCAGGGCTTGGTGGGGGAGAGGTTGCCGATCGGCTTGCTGATGTCAGCCCTAATACTGTTAGGAAACAGGTAAATGCGTTTCTCGCAACGCGACTAAATGTCTTACGACATGTGCAAGATGCAATGGCTGATAGTCAAGATAAACAAAAGGAATATGCAGATGCGAAAGGCAGAGGTTGTATTAATGATTATGAGGTCGGAGACCAAGTATTACTTAATGCTAAAAACCTACCTACCAATGTAGTATCCGCTGTCTTTAAGACGAAGTTGCGTCCGCGCTTTATCGGACCCTTTAAGGTCATTGCCAAGAAAGGCACAGCGTATACGCTTAACTTGCCGCGCAAATTGCGTACACATCCTGTGTTCTATGTCGCCATGCTAAAACCTTATCGGGATCCGTCCCAAATAGACGCTAAGGCGCTCGCGCCGGGCCCATTGGCATTGTCGCGGGACGGAGCATCTGCACCAACAAGTCAAGTTGACCCTGCATTCGGGTCCGACTCTCTTCCAGGGACTCAAGCCGGGAGTTCATCGTCTGCCTCTCCTCACGAAGGGTCCCCACCTCCTGAACAAGCTCGGCATGAGCTTGTTCCGATACACCGACCTCCTCCTCCTTTGCTCGATGCGCAGGGGAACCTGCAGTTCCATGTGGAGCGTCTACTGCAGAAGCGTCGCCGCCATGGTCAAAACCAGTATCTGGTGAAGTGGCGGGGTTATCCCGAGTCGTGGAATTCATGGAAGTTTAAGACTCCCCTTCGGCAGGACTGCCCGTACGCCGTGGACGTTTTTGAGCGTCGTGCGCAGGGTCTGCCTGTTGGCGCTGACGCTTCTCACCAGTAATGGTGAGGGTAGGCGGGTTAGCGACCTCGGGCTGTCGTGAACTCGCGGCTACAGGGGTAGCCGAAACATTGGGCTGCTGGGCAGCAGGCGCATAATGCGTTCGTTGGGATTTCAATTTTCCCCGGGCCTTCAATTTAGCGTAATCATAACGCATCTTCCGCTCAAGTCGGATATCTGCCACATCGGCGCTTGCCCGTAGGGCCCACATGCTGCTTAAACGTCGCGCATAATGCGCCCAGCGGCTGAAAGCCGTGTCTTCTTCGTCCTCGGTTTCCCCCGCGAACAGAAGGATGGGAACACCCTTCATCGGAGGAACTGGCGCACCGCGCACTTGCCTATTAAGGCGTGCCAAGTATTGGCTTTGAGTAGTGATATGGGGCTCCAGATATCGTTGTCGAAGTGCCGTGCGTGTGGCAACATCCTCAGGTGAAATGGCCTCAGGCCCAATGGTCCAACCAGAAAGGGAATGCCCAGATGCTTCCTTTAGACGTTCTTCCACCGTAGGTGGCTTGAACCTGTACTGTCGGTGGTCCTGCAGCCGCGTCATGTTCTTCGTTCGGCGCTTGGCGCCTTCCTCTTGGTCGATGGACCGCTGTTGCTGCTCGTCGAGTGGGTTGGTAACTGTTACCGTTGATGATACGTCAGGCGGGTCACGTAACGCTGTTAGCGCATCTGCTGCACCACGTTCAGGGAACGGATTCGGTGCATGACGAGTGTCATCTTCACCCGTGAGGGTGGCTAAAGGGGACCCATCGGGTCCCACAAAGACGGTGTCACTTTCGTAATCAACCGCTTCGTCAAGGTCGTCCTCAATGAGGTCCCTAAGAGTGTGTGACTCACTACCGGGAGGCGTCATGTTGTGTGCCGTGAACAAACCGTGAGGTTTTAAAAGTTCGCTAAAGCACTACCTCTATGAGGAAAGATGTCGAGTGACATTCTATGGGAACGTCAGTCTGGTGGGGGAGGGTGTAACGGGGTTACACGACGGTTGTAACGTCTTTCCGAGAGTTTACGCTTAAACTCTCCTTTGTATTGCATATAATGCATTATTATACTTCTCGTTAGAGAGGTATTAAGTATGAGCGTTAAGATACGGTATTCGGTAATACCGTATCTTACCGATTAGGATTCGATGAATCGATAACGCTCCATTAAGTACATCATACACAGATGTTAAGACGATACGTCGTTCAATAGCAAAGTCTGCATATAATAATTACTATTATAGTAATTAATCTAGTGTAGTGTACTTAAAAGTAGGACTATTCACAAAATCTTAAAGCATAAATAAAATCAGTTCTCCTTTTGAGTTTAAGACCACAAGTCGTTCTGACTTGTTCTCTTGTGCACTTCGTGCGTTGGTTCTCTGAACCCTAAGCTTCTAGCTTGCTCTTGCACTCTGTGCGTTGGTTCTCTGAACCTTAAGCTTATTGCTTGCTGACTAAGAGTATCTCCTACTTCCTTAGAAGAGGGTGACTTTAACGTCGAATACTTAGTTCCTTAGAACTAAGTGGCTTTTAGCCTTAACTCTATTTAGTTCTCTCGAACTAAGAGGCTTCCAGCCGATAGTCTTCCTCTGGCTAAAGAGCTGTGCAGCTCCGCTACATTAACAGCCCCCTAAACCCGACTTTCTTTGCTCGACCAGCCTCTGTGAACTTTTGCCATCCAAACGGCTCCAGCAGTCCTTCCCCAGTCACCGTCGAAAATTTGAAACCATTCAGCTTCCTTCTCTCAACAACAAAAACTATCTCCAACGTCTTAATTTCAAAACTCTGGTCTGACTGTTGTAACTTTGCCACCACGAATAGAAGTATTCGATATGAAATATGTGCGTGTCGGCACTAGTAACTTGTAACATCCGGACGAGACCAGTCGTCTTACACACCATGATCGCGTCGTATCCACCTTCATTCCATTTCTGTGGCATAATCCAAACGGGATTACGGCAGAGATAAAGATAATGAGGTATTCCATCCACCTTTAACACTTCAGATCGACTCCACTTTTCATGTATGTTTCCTGCCGCATCAACTATCTCAAGATCGCCATTCCGAATACTTGCGAAAAATTTCAGCTCAAACATCCATCCATTCAATGCCGAGTTTGAATAATCATTTAATGGATACATAATATCATTGATCTTGTTCGGACCCCATGTAACGCCAATCACCATAGCAGCAAAGCGACTGATCACAGGTTTCACTACGCCAATAAAAGCAGATGTCTTGAACATCGCAAACAGGCAGCTGTAGTTTGATTGTGAATCCAGAGCGACATGCAACTTATTCACCACATCCGTCGAGTTGTAGCAAAACATATAACGACAGGATCTACCGGCGTAAAAATACTTGGCCTTTACCATGGCTGAACGATCACTCACAGAGTCACCCAGGTATGGCTCCACGACGCGGAACAACATATCATCGCTTGTCGCAGCAAGGTACTCGTCCAGTGTCCAGGAATACACCAAATACTCCATTGCTCGAGTTAAGAGATCGAAATGTCTGACGCCCTACTACGAAAGGTCATGGAACAAATAAACGCGAGCCGTCGCTTCATGACAACGTCCTCCCGTAAGAACCACCTATTGAAAATTTTTGCTATATTACTCAAGTCATCTTCATCAGTCCAGCCATCAACTAGCACTACACGATGCTTCGAATTATCATCAACTTGAAGCACGTCTTCCAATTCCTTAGCATTATCGATTGTTCGAGACATTCGCTCATCGCCAATCAGACGCACACACCGACAGTAAGGATTTAGCGCAACGTCAATCCATATCACCTCCCATTCATTTCTGTCGACAGTTAATGCAAAGACCGTAGCAGTCGATGACTTTCCCGTTCCCGAAGGACCAAGAATCCAGCCTTGGTGACCTTCTTTCAGCACCCTTTCACGCAAGAACTCAACTTGCTCATGAAAGTTGGGTCTGCAGTACAGCATCATTCGTTCGGAAAGAACCCCTGGCAATGTATCCTCCTTTTTCAGCCAGAAGTACTTTGACTCTGGGTCGTAGGTATGAGGTCTCAGTAAACGAGACTTCCACTTAAAAAAATCTTTTGATGCTATCACCAGTACGTGAACTTGACCAGTAGATGGCTGTGGCATTTTATTCTTTTCAAACAGCCAGTACTGTAAGGTCCTCGTCACATCCATCTTTTCTCCACCAACCACCGTCTGGATGTCTTTATGCTTCTTTCCTTCTTTCAACTCCAAAGCAGCAGGAGCATCGTCTTTCAGCCAATTGCCGTCCGTCATCTTCGCAACGAAGAGCTGAAATTGGTCCGAAGGAAAGTGGTACAACTTCTTCGCCTTCATCTCCTTCTTCAAGTCGTAAACCGACCGATTCGCGTCGATATCCACAGAAAATACGCTTCCCTTCGTACCAACAATCGCGCAGAATAGCGTTAACATCTCTTCTTTAACCTTTAGATTCTTTAATGAGAGGGAAGGGCGGCGTCTACCTAATGACGGTTTATGACGTCAAACTGTAGAACCTGTCTATGCTAATACCCATTGGAGCAAAGGTATATATAAATAAAAACAAGCTATTAATAATGGCAGCATTACTTTAGGCCGGTTCAACCGTCGATCGAAATGAAGTGAGTGTGACGATAAGATCGTATCCCTTTTTTGACGTCAAAACGTACCTTGACCAATCAAAACGCTGCCTTTTTATCTTCTTGTTATCATTGAAAAGTAAAAGACATTTTTGACAGATACTATCATGAAGGACCACAGCATGGCGCGCATGCAGGAGCTCTTGAGCAGCTATTACGGACTACAAAATCAGGAGAGTACACAGGAACAAAAACGCAATATCGATTCACCCGGATTTGATACCAAGATCTACGTTAAGGTGCGCGCTTAGCTGTACAAATGTTAACGTGTAACCTCGAGTGTAACCTTTTGTCAAAAATGAAAAAGGAGCTACTAGAAACCTGTGGACTTAACGACCTGCTCATAGCAGACAACCAGCTGATCAGCGAGATCAAGGAGCTGGACACCAACATGCAGATGCTCGTGTATGAGAATTATAACAAATTTATTAGCGCCACAGACGCAATTCGCAGGATGAAGGTGAGGGTAGAATTTTGACACTTGTCAAATGCCTGTATTTCTGACTTTTCTGACAACGGTGTAGAACAATGTAGCGAGCATGGAGGACGAAGCAAGGCGTGTGGTCAAGAGCATGGATGTCATTACGGCTAAGAGCGAGCATATCAATGTGGCCTTGGCGCCTCATCGCTCCAAAGTTGAAAAACTGATTGGCGTGCGGCGGTTGCTGAAGAGATTTGAGTTCATCTTTGAGCTGCCTCAGAGACTTAAAACGTACGTGGACGGGATGTTTTGCTGTATAGGTGAGAGGCGGCAAGGTCACTGATTGTGGTTGCTGAAATGCAGTGCTGTGAAGCAGAAAGAGTACAACAATGCTACCAAGTATTATCTGCTTGCACGCCGGATACTGAGGAGATATGAGCACGTTTCATCATTTAAGGTAAGGTTGGCCTTGCAATTGCTATGGTTTATAATTAGCTCTGACGTGTTTGCTTGAGTTCTTGTAGGCGATTCAAGTGGAAGCCGAGAAAATTATTGAGCAACTTGAACTATTGCTCAAGAATCGAATGTTTGACACAACTCTTGAGTCAGAGAAGGTGTATATGCTATGTATTGCTAGTCAGATGGGATTTTGAATCTCAATCGAACTATTTTGTCGCTCGGATGTGGACAGCTTTGTGAAACGGTGGTACTTCTGCATCAACTGGATGCTTGTAACGACGAGATCCGAGACCAGTTTCTGAAATGGCACAAAGCATACTTTGAGCGTGCAGTGACATTGTTCAAGGTAGTGCAGCATACTACGTTCTTTTTAGTCGATGTGCCTGGGCTAATCTCACCCGCTATGTTCACTACAGTCTCAAGGCAAGGCGGCCACGGTGCTGGATTTCCTCCAAAGATTCAATGCGGATGTCTTATCGAAGATGGGTCGAGTGTTTTTAGTGTACAAAACCCACTTGATGCCCCAAGTTGTCACGCGCGAAAAGTTGTCGACATCACGCAAGCCCTCCGATACGACTCGAGACGATTTGCTCCTAAATTTTGTGAATGAGCTGTTTGCACTGTATCGGAAACAGTGTATCATGCAGTTTCGCCGTTTGCACACGGAATATGTAAGCCCACCATTGATGGATTGACTCTTTGCACGGCCATTACTTACATATGATCACCACTTGCTCGTCTCATGGAGGGCTCGACGGATGAAGTCCTTGATATGCTGCAGGACGAAGACCTCTCCTCAGACATTGTCGAAAGTGAGTACTTCGTGTTCATGCACGTAATGAAGCACTTTGTCTCGCAGGTGAAAATTGTAGACCGAAGCATTCCAATGTATGGGCTAGCCGAAAATGCCACTGGAATTGTGGAAGGCTGCGTGCAGTTCCAGATTAAAAGTGTTTTTCGAAAAGTGCACGGGGATACTGGGACGCTCTTTGTTACTTTTTACAAAGATGTGTGTGATTTGGGGCGAAACTCGCGCGATGGTGGAGAGAGCGTTTTATCTTTAGCGCAGAAGTCAGCGAGGGCATTCAATGATATCGTGCAGAAAGTACTGCAGCAAATGGAGCCTATGATGCAAGCAGGTTTCTCGATTCTTCCCGAGTTAAGTCGACTCTTCTCCGACTTAATACAGGTACGATGGTCATCAATTTGTCTTTCAATCTCTGCTTGCCTTCTAGTTTGTGTATGGATCTTAAATATTTTGATCTTTTTAGGGCCAATTTTACGATTTTCTTATATGGTTTAACGCCTCGGTGCTCCGATACGCAGAGCCCAAGCGTGCATTTACTCCACCAGATCGGCCGCTTACAACTAGACCCGAGGAACAAGATAGTGCAACACTTCCGTGGCTGGAGCCTACTCCGCAGTTCTTGCTATTCCTAGCGTGTATGTGTCAAGAGTTGTCAGCTGAGGGTATTGGTGAACGCGTACGCGATCTTATTGAGCGTTTGTCAGTACCCTCGTTTCCATCAAAACATCCCGACATTGAACGAAGTCGCAGCAGTCAAATTAACGAGCAGGACATGATGCATATGATCGAAGTGACTCGCGAATCTTCTGCAGAGCTACTGCAGCACGTCGCAAAGCAGTATGGGGACCAGCTGTGTACCATAATTCATACTGGGGTGACTGCTACGTCATGGGCGGACATGAACGAGGAGCCAAGAAGTGTGCAGGAAATGATGGCCGCGGTTGTAGAGACCACTTTTCGATTCGGGAAGGAAATTGCTGTGGCGCTCGGCGATGAGAATAGCATATTTATTGGAATCAACAGTCGTGCAGCAAGTCGTGACTTTCGCCGGCGTGTCAGTGCGCTGCGGTCTCGCAATGCAGGGGTTGCATCAGCAACGTCAGGCATGCAACTTGACGTGGATCGGATGTTTGCCCGTAAAATCCATGTTTTTCCAACCCAGCTCGAACTCACTGCAGATGCGTTCGTTCAGACCATGCTTAAAATGTGCGTTAAAGCCTTCAGCGAATGGGTGCGGTTGTTGGAGCTGTCAAAGTTCGGCTTACAGCAGATACAATTGGATGCTGAATTTTTGTGCAGTATGCTGATGCATATGGTGGTGGCTGGCGAGGAAGTGGAGAGTCTTTTGTCTGACCTACTTTCGAACGCACGTGCTCGAGCTGTTGAAGACGTGCTGATGGATCGTAGCAACGTGGTTGCCATTGTGAGCACCAAGAGCACCCAAGTTTTGTCACGCCGATGATGATTCAGCGTAACAGGTGACTGCAACAAAAAGCTTTTTTATTCAAGGTGTTTACATCGTCTAACTTTGTGTGTGTCGTTGGCTTGCAGCACGATTTGTTCTGTGACATCGCCAGCCTAGTATGAAATCACCAGACATCCAGAGCTACCTTCATCCGAAATATTACCGCCGATATGTTGGCGATGCAATCGGTATCGCTGAAGATTTCTTACAGCACAGTCGTAGATGCATCCTCTGAATACATAATTATCATTCTCACTTTTACTATCTTCGGCAGACGTTCCTCTCTTGTGGTGAGTCTGTTATATAATAATATGAAGTGCTTATAAGAATGTATTACTCTTTCGACCACACTTTTTACTATTTTCACCGCACCATAACTTTTGCTTAGATAACAAACCCAACACCACACCACACCACACCACCACATCACCTCACCAAACTCTGTTCTGATTGTGTAGGAATATTCTTGATGCGCTTTCTACAATTACACCTGACTAGAAGTATTTCGAAATGCAAGCATAAACTTGAGTTGTAGTGTGCTGACATGGGCATTGCGGTGGGTTTCGGTTTCCTAGGTTCTTATTGCGCTAACTTACGAACGTTTCTGAATAGTATGCTGCCACACATGATAAAAAACTTCGTACGAGTTACGGCGTTTGCCACTGAGACACCTAACATGCTTGACAAAGTTGGGCAATCATCTGTTGCAATGAAAGTGCTAGTGTTGTCGAGAGGTCCAGACTTATTTGCATGACTATAAAGTACCTGCCATGGCACATATGGCAGATATTTCTTCCTTGACTTTTTCAAGAACAAGAAGATCAAGAATAAGGGTAAGAAGTAGTAAAAGTGGTTGAAAAAAGTGGAGCCACAACAGATAAACCATTTAAGCTAGTTGTAGCCCGCACAATAGTCTCGATGCGCTTAGGGAAATGTGTATTGCAAGCGGCCCCTGCCAAAAGCATCAATTGTAGATTTCTATTTTATTTTTGCCTGATTCAACGTAGAGTTAATGACTTCTAACTCCATATCCGAATGCACATCCTGCTGTTGTTGCATTTTCCATCACCAAGCTCGTCCGTCACATCGACTCCAGCGTAGATGCATAGAACGCTCGGCAGATTGACGACGGTCTGTGTGTTGAATTTGGTTATTTTAACAAACCTTTGTGGTGTGTGCAAAAGTTATGATGTGGCGAAAATAGTAAAATGTGTGGTAGGAATAGTAATTCTCAATGATTATAGCTAATAATATTTAACTATATTGTGTTTTACAATGATAAATTGCTCGCATTCTTGAAGTTGGAGAGCCCTCCAATTGGTTGATATAGGCCATGATATCAGCCAGCGCGCTGGCCAATAAAGGATGGACGCACGCAATAAGTGTAGGGTGTAACGGGGTAAGTTTGCTACATTATATTGACACTTATATGAAGTGTCAATAAGAATATTATTTTAACTAATAAAATTCGACAAAATTATCTTTACTTTTAATATTGTTCTTGCATCTCATTGAAGTTGGTTATGCCCTATATTTGGTTGATATAAGCCATTATATCAACCAACGAGCTAAACAATGACCGATGGACGCGCGCAATGGGTGGAGAGCAAGTTGTCAATATACATAGTTGGAGTTTAGTATAGTTAAGACAAAGTTATAACAAATTAGTTTTTATCAGATAGTTCAACTATATAAATATACAGTTCTTTTTTTCCTTACAACAAAAGTGTCACTTAGTCGCATAGCTTCCTCTGTATCCGTCCGTGTACGTGAGGTATTAAGGCACCTGCTTACACTGTCATCAGTGTAGGTAGACGAGTATAGTCGGAGGGTGCCCCGTTACACCTGGTAGCACTTTGTGGTCCGTTTAACGACCACCGTATCGTTTGCTAAGGAACCAGCGGATGAAGAACGTCACCACGCAACGCGTGATGACTTTGGTCATTTGAGTGATCTCAAATGGAATGCGGCTCAGTGTATGGCTGAAACCATCGGCAACCCTTCCGTTGGCGCCATGTTGCTGTCTCTTAGCGTAGACGAACAACATGCAACTGTGGTGGAGTGGGATTTGCAAAATTGCTGATGCGATTCCGACTATCCACTGGCGCTAGGACGACCGACTAATGAAGGGGCTACCCCGATTCCGTGTATAATGCCTTTCTCACCTTGTGTACCCGTAGTTTGGGCGGGTTTAATTTTCTAGGTGGACTTAAGTCGATGTTGATCCTAATTGGGTTACATATAGGGGCTTGGGTGATCTTCAAGGAAATCTTCACAAGACAGACCGATTACTTGGTGTGATCTTCCTAATCGATCAAGATTACCCATTAAAGCGAAGCTTGGATCGTTTAAACACTCGAGCAGAACCTTCTGACCACTTGATCCGTCCTGCACTTGCTTCGCCTTGCCCTACTTGTTGTATCTGCGTCCAATCGATGTTGAGTTGTGTTGAGAGTTCTTGCAATTCCTAGCCAAATAATCCAGGGATATGACTTGCGTAGTGTGTAGGCTTCCGTTGGGTGGCCAAAAAATTCAGCCCGGAAGAGAAGCCGACACATGTATTAGAAGTAAAATTGAACTATGTTTCGTGTTTTCTATTTAATCAATAATCAAACCTACGATAATGCCTATCTGTAGTCCAGGATCTATTACCACGTGTCGTCCCTTCAGATATATCAGATCTCGATATGTGGTCCACTCCAAATACCTTCACCATTCTCATCCAATCGCGACTTGCCTTATTCTTGGATCGCGATCTGAATCAGATCGCGTATCAGTTCAGGATCGCGGTCGATCCATAATGTGTGATTTATGTGACTTGGATCGCGATCTACTCCGGATCTCGGTTTTGAGTCGGATCGCGGTTCGGAATTAGATTGCGTTTCCGAACTTGATCACGTACCTGAGTCGGACCGTGGTTCTTAGTCGGATCGCGGTTCTGATTCGGATCGCGGTTTTAAGCTAAAATGCGTTTTATACACAATGGATCGCGATCGATCCTCAATGTTTTGTACACATAACCTGGATCGCGATCTACACTTTACGAAAATCTGGTCCCTTGCTCCTCCACAGTTAAATAACGGAATTACGGATCGCGGATCCACCTGAATACTAAGATTGCAATGCGATCCAGACTTGGATCGCGGTGCTATCCAAACTAGATGGCGACACGATATGTATCTCGGATCGTGATTTGTCCATTACAACTAATTGAGGACGCGATCCACACTATGCGAAATTTCGCTATTCCATATTCAAGTAAAATTCGTACCAATTCAATCCATCTAATTGGATCAACAGATACCGGAATCAATATATATCCAAACGGTGATCGAATTTATGATAATCAAACATAATTCGGAATTGTGATCCATGCCATGTATCTTCACCTTAAGTATGTTTTGATCCATATTATCATCGTCTTCGATGATATTGATCCAGTCTTCATTCGTTTTATTGAACAAGAAAAATAGATCTTAGATCAACGGCACTTTTCCATTTGACGTCCATGAATTAAGATCGACTTCACCACAGCCAATAAGTCATTTTGGAAAGTACTTAATGGGGGACAGGAATCCAACCGTTATGAGAAAGTAATCCGACCGTTTATGGAAAAGGGCCAGCCGTTATGGGAAAGGATTCCCGCCGTTATGGGAAAGAGATCCAACCGTTATGGGAAAGGGATCCAACCGCTGGCCAGAAAAGTCCCGATAACTCGGCTCCGGGTTTATCGAGCAAAATTTTACATGAAATTAGCCAAAATTCTCTAATCGACTCTACCACCCCACCATTGCCAAGTTCATACAACATGAATTTGACGAAGTCGTGAAGAAACTCACCTAGTTACAGGAGCAAGGTTCTCAACAGGTAGACCTGTTGAGAGAACAAGGCGCTCAATAGACTGTTTTTCTATGACAACAGCAGTCTAGTGCTGCTGTTGTCGGGTCGACGTATATACATCGACCAGAGTCCTAGAAGATTGTTGTCTATAAATACAATCCAGTCAAAAGCGACGCCTTGTTGAGATGTTCGTCGAACTCGACGATGCCATCGAGGCATGTCGCATCGACGAAAAAGCGTAGTGGTCAAGTTTGCGATGTCGAACTTGGCTGGACGTGCCAAAGTTTGGGCCTTAGGGATCAAGCTGCATGACCCATACTTACTTTTTTCCAACGTATGATGTCTTCAAGGCGCGGCTCAAACACACGTTTGAATTGCCTCGCGCCGAATGCAGGGCTCGAGCTGAGCTCCTGGATCTGAAACAGAGTAAGCGTGATATACACGCTTACGCCCAACATGTACGATACCTCGTTTGTTGTATCGTTCTTAACTTAAAAGATGAACACACGCAGGTTACTGTGTTCATCAAGGGTCGGACAGATGGTCCTGTCAAGACCCACCTGTTCCGCTTGGAACTAGAATCGCTGGATCAAGCGATCTCTGCAGCGGAACAAGGGGACTTCAGCCTACAACAGGCTCATGTCCACTCGGGGTCCTATCGTCCACCGAGACAACAGGAGGGCGGATGTTCAGAACCAATGTGTATCTACTATGTAGAGAGCGAGCGACCTCGCTATACAGGATACAAGAGATTGCAAAAGTGCAATCGCTGCCAGAAGATGGGTCGCTACGCCTATGAGTGTAGCGTCCCACGCCCAGTGTCTCGTAACACTGGGTGTGACGATCGTCCGTCTGCCAAGAACGGCCAGAGACGTGGGTCTCACGTTGCTGCAAAATCGCAAAAACGTGGTGAGCCATAAAAAGCCAGTCGTGGTCAGTAGGGGCGGAGCGCCCTACTGATACAGCAACGTCACAAAAGCTTGCGGGACTATTGACATAAGTTGCTCCCAACACACAGTCACTGTGTGTTGCCGCTCCCAGTGATGAGGTATCCCTCATCACCTCGAAAATCGAAGTGACAATGAACATGTCACTTCGTGCCCTAGTTGATTGTGGGGCTTCGAACAACTTTGTTCGACGCCAATCGCTAGATGATC